TTGGCGGATGTGTAACTATTACATGCAACACATGTAAAGATGAAAATGTTTCTATTTTGTGTCTTCTTCATCCTGTGCAAAGCACGGGTACAACAGCTAGTATATAATAATCCATAGTTATGTTGCTATTTCTAATTTTTATGATGGTTTAAAAATGATATTACATAATCAATAATATCCCTGATAAATATTTAATAATAATAATTAATAATAATTAATTAATAATTAATTAATTATAATAATAATTTAACAATAATATTTAACTAAAAAATATGGACAACAGTACACAACAACTCTTTTCACTACACTACTATGAGCTGAACTGTTTTTGTTATGTGTTTACAACCTGCGAAACATCATATTTTCAACAGCTGTCTATTGTTTACTACCGAAAGTAACATTGTTTACAACCGAAAATTTTCCACTGTCAACAACTTAAAATATTTGTTATTGTTTTATCAACTTTTTACAATTTCAACAACTAAAATAAATATTAACTTTAAATAAAGGCATAACCTAAAATTCTATGAGTTTTGTAATTAACCCTTTCAGTGCTAGGCCAATAATTCGTATTTCGTAAGACTTTTTTGTTTGTTTGCCTTTCGATTCCATTTTACCTGTTGTTGAATTTTAACTGTATTGTTGTCACTATTTTATTAATTAGGCTAATTTTGAATAATAGCCTAAGACAATAAATAACAAAGATAAGTCCCGGTATTTGTAGTAAACATTAAATAAAACTTAGTTTTTGTTGTAAATTTCCTGGTTTTCTTATAAATTGTAATGTTCTGATAGCATTGTTTGAAACCAAAATCTCATAAAATCAAAAGACATCTAGTTTACAATGTAATATTGAATTTAACTTTGATTTAGTTGAATAAGGTTATTGTAATATAGCCATTTTAGGGAAAATATTTTTTTGCAGCAAAGCCTCAGGAACACAATTTATGATTACTGTTGTGTTTCAACTGAAAAAATACCATCTAAATAGTCCGTAACTAACTTAGTGCTACAATCTAGTAACACATTGAACAACCTTCTGTAGCGCTATCTGTTCACAATCGTTGGCGTCAGCTTAAATACTGGTTTTTTAATTCCTCAGTCTTCAAGCACAGATAGCCGAGAAGGCTAGGGCGTGTGTCACTTGGCCAGTGGCATTCGTCTGCTCGGGTTCGATTCCCGTCCTGTGTGGCAAATAATTGGTGACCTGTGTGTTTGTAGCGATATACTACAACCACTGGGGCATTGTGAGGTGTTCATAATCCTTGGTTTAGACATACACCTCGAAATCATCGGATTGGGCAAACCTTTTAGCTAAGTGGTTGTTAGTGTATCCTATGAACATGAAGGTCACCAATGGCCGTTTTGCTACTTTTTGTTAAAATAACCTTTCTCTCTATATCCCTTAGAGATTTTTAAAAACAACGATATATCGTTTCATAGCACTGAAAGGGTTAAGAAAATAATTATTCTTTGTAGTGTAGCGAAAAGGAACGTTCAAAACCCAAGTGAAAGTGGGCATATACATATTCTCGACCATTTAAAGTGCTCGATAAATCTCACACTTCAAACATGGTTTCAAATATGTAATAACTCACTTTCTACTCTTGTTATGAACTATACTATTTTGGATCTAATACTCTTTACTGCAACAAAATACCACAGCTGGTAACAGTGACAAATATTTCCCACAATTTGCCACTTTGGTCTGAGGACAGATGTTAGTAAATTCCTTCACCATTTTTGAATGGAAATTAATTAACTTAATTGTTATCACGGAATTCCTTGTTATTGTAAGACATCATTAATAACATATTCACTTGTTTGTATTTTTATTTAATAATGAAAACTAACAGTAACATTTATAATGAGTTCTGTTCTGACAGTGAGCGACGGGACAAATAACACACATTAGATCATTTTTCTTATACTTTTGTTTTGTTTTTTGCATACATATTCATTTATATGTACAGTTGAACCTCTATAAGACGAATTTCAAGGGGTACGGGAAAAATTCTTACTATAGAGGTATTCTTAATAAAGAGGGTCGTTTTATCGAGGTTTAATGCTGCTGTTATTCTTCTTATAGAGGTTTCTCGTCGCTCCAAGTTTTCTCCAAACAATGACTGAGGAAAGAGGAGGGATGGGTGGGGGTTTCATGTTGAGACAAGCTTCTGTTTGTTTTTAAAACTACGTACTATGGAGGTTAAGATTATGATAAATTCGTCTTATAGAGGTCACGTTCGTCTTGTAGAGGTTTTGTGCTAAGAATATTCGTTGTATAGAGGTTAATCAGTCCTAGCCCATGTCACAAACAAATTCGTCTTATGGAGGCTTTTAACTTAATTACAACGTTGTATAGAGGTGTTTTTAGCATTAACCTATATGAAAGTGTCAAGGGGATTTAAAAAAATTCGTCTTATCGAGGAATTCGTTTTATCGAGGTCCGTACAAACGAGGTTCAACTGTATACATATAACATTAAATTAAACTTAAATTTGACCTAATAACAAAAATGAAATTATTTAAAATACCCGGTTTTTTACTCTGGGACGTAGGTATATTCTATCTAAATTTGATATTCACCCTTAACATTTTGTGGTGTGGTGGATGGGAAGGCTTTAGTATCTCGCTCCTCTGGTATGGTGGCTGTAGAAATTATGATTACTAAGAAGATTTAGTTGGCTTGTGGAAATGATAGTTCATGAATGTAGATTGCTCGAACTGTTAAAATCTTTAGGGCTTTATAAGCTTCTCTGCAACTTCCTATGGGACCAAGGCAATAGAGTATCCTGGCAGCCTTCTTCTGAGCCACCAGGGTTTTATGTAGGTTGTTGTCCGTTGTGCCACCCCAATACATCAGCCAGTACCTTATGTGTGATTCCACCATGGCATAGTATCCTGCCTTGTCTGATTGTATTCCTCCCATTAACAACATCCTCTTATATTTTAAACAGTTAAAATAGTAACAGTTTATGGCCAATATGTTCTTGACGTCATTCTGTGTGTAAAGAACAAAAGTCCTAATGATGTCCCTCACAAACCTTCACATCATTATAACACTAGAAAAATACCCCCGTTGCAGCAAACCTGCATACTAAGCGAATTTCCATTTACCCGGCTTGATTTCTACTAAAATATTCCCTATAAATTTTCAGATTTATTTCCTATTTAAATAACATTAATTTTAGTTAGTAGTTAGGTTTGCTGCTACGGGGAAGATGTTGAGGTGTGTTTTTTCAATTGAAATATTGATAGCTTACTATGAAATAAACCAAATTGCCAAATTTGATTAAAATATATCCATAAACAAGCAAACTAGAACAGTTTATTTATTCTCCATAAGAATAACATGGGAATTTTAAATTTACAATTTTTTAAATTTTCTCCGTAGTCAATGAACATTAAAAAACACTTCAATATACTAAATTATTTGTTTTTTTAAGCTCTTCAAAATGGTCTAGAGAGAAATTTAGAAATTTAAAGTTTTTAGGGTCAAAAATTAGAAAAACCCATTTTTACCCCATAAAACCCCCCATAAACCCCTGATGCCATGGTCCGATTATGCTGGTTCGCGGAATAAATGTAGGTTTACACGTTTGTACCAAATTTCATCAAAATCGGATCAATTTTGCTCGAGTTATCGCGCTAACGGACACATATATAAATATATATATATATATATATAAATATATATATATATATGAATTTGAACGGATGGTGTTTTTGGCCTCTGGGGACCTCAAAACGAAAAAGTAAATCGGTCCCGGGTCTAGGTCTTACCATGAGACCTACGGTAATAGCTTATTCCCTATATGGGAAATTCGCTAAAAGGCAAAATCAGCACAGACTGAAGCTCTAAGAAAAAAAACCAACATATGCTAGGGAACAGTTTAAAAAATAATAATCCCAGAACATTTTAAAATGCCCCCGCCGCAGCAAACCTGCAGACTAAGCAAATTTTTATCTACCTGGCTGGAATTCCACTAAATTAATCCCTTAAAATTGTCAGATTTATTTCATATTTAAATATTATTAATTTTTATGAGTACTTAGGTTTGCTGCTACAGGGAAGAAAATAGGGTTTTTTTATTGAAATAATGATAGTAAAGTAAACACAATTTCAAAATTGCATTAAAATATGTCCATAGACCAGCAAGCTACAACATTTTTATTTTTATTTTCCATAAGAATAACATGGTAATTTTAAATTTACACTTTTTGGGGATTTTTTTCCATAAAATAATGCTTCAATATACAAAATGGTTTGGAAATAAAATTCAAAATGTTATGTTTATATGGTGTAAAATGGGAAAACCCCATTTTTACCCCATAAACCCCCCCCCCCCCATAACCCTGTTCCTATAGGCCAATCATGCTGGCTCGCAAAATCGGATCATTTTTGCTCGAGTTATTGTGCTAAGGGACACATATAAATAAATATGTGATATGAATTTGGACGGAAGGTTGGTTTTGGCCTCTGGGGACCTCAAAACGAAAAAGTAAATCAGTCCCGGGTCCAGGTCTTACCAGAGACCTACAGTAATAGTTTATTCCCTATATGAAAAATTCGCTAAAAGAAAAAAATAAATTAAATTTTTAAAAGACAACTGAAAGCGTATTTAATTAACAAAGCAATTTACTCACTGGATGACTTTCTTAACCTCCCTCTTAAATAAACCAATATGAATGTATCATTAGAATAACAATTGATTGTTGACACTATTTAATTGTACTATGTACTTATATGAACAAAGAATAATATTGTCTATTGTCTATTATGTATTCCAAATGAGAGCTTCCTGGTTAGTTCATGAATGTCCTCATATTGTATATTATTAGTACTGGTATGTACTTACTTACTTGTAATACTTGTCGTCTTCGTCGTTGACCAATGAAAATTGGATAGACTGCGTCAGAAGTGTGTTGAGGCTATTTACTGCCCAAATTTTTATGTAACCTGTTGATTGTTTGGTTTGAGTTGAGCCTGTGGTTTTCAGGAGCAATATGAGGTGGAGTCTGATGAGAACAGAGTGGAGTTGGCTCAGACAGTATACGACCGCTACCTCAAGAGAGACGTAAGTTACATTAGTGAATCTCTAAATTTAGAAACAAAATTTAACTGTATTACTTAACTTGATAATAGTACGTTTTTGTTAACTCATACTGTGAATACTTATTTAGGCTACCTACAATACAAATCCAGTAATAGATTTTAAGGTATGGTATGATAAAAGAATGTGTTTAATGGTTTGCACTGTAAACAAAAAGCTATCACAATAGTTTCTAACCTGTCAATTGGTAATTTTCTATCATATTTTAGTGAAATTATAATCAGGCAAATGGAAATTCACTCAGTCTATAGGTTTGCTGCGGCAGGGGGATTATATTACTGTTTACACAAAAATGAATAAAAAAAATAAACCTCATAAAACTCAGGATAAGGGCCTAGGTTGATACGGCAATGATTAAAGAATCTTAATTGTTTCCTATATCCATTAATGATTTCTTTTACAATGAATTTTTCCCTGTAAAATATTATTACAGCATTTCACAAATAATATTAGAACAGACTCAGTATAATAGATCATAAATATAAACAAATTAATTTTTTGTACAATTTATTTACAATCCATTCTATACTAGAATAATAAGTAAATTTTATGACAATTTAACATGGTTTAGTTACACTCCATCAAGTGCACTAGCATACAAAAACTTAAAGAAAATTTAACTAGAAACGATTTGGAAGGTCTATTGGATTAACTCTTTTGAGCCTATATGTAGCTTCACTATTATCGAGGAGGTTAATAAATAATATAACTGCCAGGAAATTCGGATGGCTTTCTAATTTTCTTTGATATTTTTCGCTTTGTTTTTTATTTCTTCTTTAATATAGGGTAATTTTGTATCTTGATGAATAACTATTTGTGACAAACCAAGGTGCTTGTAAAAAATGTTCTTAGTGTTTTGGATTGAAATCTTTGAACTATTTCAATGTTTGAGTTTAAAATGGTTCCCCAGAGTTGGATACCGTAGATCCAAATCGGTTTCAATATAATCTATCTATAATATTAAAACGTAACAGGGTTTTTTTATTTCACGATTCTGAATCAACCACTTGGCGTATTTTCATGATTTTTGTGTTGAAAGAAAGATAATTTTGAGAACTAGGGAATGTCGAAGCCATAGTTTTAGTTTAGGGTCCCAGTTTTTTAGAAATTAAGTTTTAATTTTTGAAAAGTCTAGCAGCCGACGCTAACATTCTAAACTAGCTTTTGGTATGATATAATTTACTTAACATAACAGCTGTAAACATTCAGCGTTTGTGACAAAAATTCAGCATTTGTATAAAAATGAAAAGACATACGAAGCGTTGACTTATTTATATTATGTGTAATGCTGATCATTGATAGGCCTACGTTCAATTCTTCGACAAGAGGATGACAGATTAATTAAATATACATAGTAAAATACTAGGATGTTCAAATTACTTTGTAAAGCAATCTTTGATTTGTTTTAGTGCAATATAATTTGTTTTAACTAACAGCTGGTTAAATATAAAAATATTCTATAGAACTATTAGGTTATTTTATTTACTCTGATTTTGTCATTGATTATAGGAAATAAGTTAGATTAGTAGATATAATAATTAGACCACAGAGATAAGTAAAACCATTGCTGTACAAATCGAGGCTCTTTACACGAGTCTTAAAAGAAAAGGATATATGCAAATCATTTTACTGCTCCACTTTTTTAGGAAAGAGTTGGAAAACAACGATATTTGCATGTATTAAAATTTTTCTTGGTAGCTTTTTTTTACAATTAATGTTAGTCTGCTTACAATTTGTTTGGATTAGGCTCAGAAATATTGATGTCATAGAAAAGGAGATCAAGATTAATCGGGAATCACGATTTTAAATTACCACCACAACCTCAGCAAGGTTTTATCCAAAGATAAACTGATGGATGACATAGATTGAACACAGCAGCATCATTGACCTAGGATACTGCAATTAGACAAACCATCCTTTTATGAAAAAATCAATTGTTTGGCGTGTGTTAGTTGTGGTTACGTGTGGGGGCGCTGATGTAGGCAAAATATCACTTTTATTTCAACTATAAATATCTTATACTTTTAATAAATTAATATGGGAAATTACGATGTAGGTTGATTCAATAGGTGGGTATTATTACAGATATTAGAACTGATAACGGTATGGATTATTAACATAGATAATTACGTCACTAGCTTTACTAGCGTGTTTACTTTTCAAATTTTTTTCAACATGTGGCCAGTATATTATGTGTAGGCCTACTGTGAATTTTATTGGATAATATCGTTTTATTTTAGATAGTTTCTATTCAGACCTACTGGAAATTGTGTATAGTACGAGTGATTGTATTGTGGTGATAATAATTATGGAAGAGGCAGGTATGCGATGGCAGGTGGTATTGTTGACTAGGTCTATACACTTCTTAATTGACTATTACCATTGACTATTGGATACTGAATTATTATATTAATAGTCAAAGCTATTACTCACTACTGGTAGGCTACTTATAATCAGTGTGCGAATCGGCCGCAAATCTCACTTCAACACTTTTCACATCGCCACAATTGCAGTTTTATTGTAAAGTTATCCGATTTAAAATGCATATCATATAGGCCTATGATGTAATGAAACATATTTGGCCACTCAACATTTGTTTACAAGATGATTTTTCACATTAAAACTGCAAGAACATATTTTGTCTTTATACCTGTAAACTAGCTGTTCTGAATTGTACACAGTTTTAACTGACTACTCAATTCCCGTACGTAGGACGGGCTAGCATCTCGTTTTGTATAAAAGTAATTTGTTTTCAACAGATAATTTTTAATTTCGACCAATAAGCCAATCTAGTTTGTTTTCAAATTTAAATGAAGTCATTTGTTCCAAATGTGTGAATGCCATGTAAGCCGTCTGTCGGGATGCATACCAACTTCGTTGAATTGTGGAAGCTTGACATTATTCAGTGTTACTGGGGGGCAAGTTCTTTTTGACTTAGTAAATGTAACTTGAACGGATTTTGTTTCATTTACTTTAATTTTTTTATTATTCTTTTCTGCATTCTCACCCCTTAGCAAAGCACGGGCAGAGCAACTAGTATATAATACGTGAAGGCGATTTCTACAAAACACTACTCCTCCTGTAACCGAATTCCCAACTCCATTGATCAAAAGGGTGAAGCCCTTGGAAGCGCAAAATCAATGGTGGGATTCCGGCACAATATTGCTGAGGTGGAGGACCAACAATAACAACACAAGAGCTGGCTGGACACAAATATAAATTTATTCATTCTAATATATATATACATAAATGCAACCATGATACTTAAATAACAATAATAAATAACACATTGCCCTAGCCAAGATAATAATTAAGTTAAAGCTTTTAAAACATTTAAAAATTTCTTTAATAAAAATACAATTTAATTTAAAAATGAAAATCGAGTTAAGTGACATTAGGCGTAAGTGACATTTTGCAAAAGCATTTAGTATACTAACTCAAACAAATTTCAAACAAATTAGCTTAGGTGGCCACCTTATAAAAATCATTTAAAACAATTAATTTAATGCCTTTAGTCCTAGGCCTACATTAAAATAAATAATTTTTACATTTAAACGAACATGAAAAACATTTACACATATCAACAAATGTGGTCGCCTCGCAAAAATATATTCCAAGCGGTTAAAATTAACCGTCAAGGGCAAAAAAAAGGGTTTTACCCTCAATCAAGGGGTGTGAAACAGAATTAAGGAATAGAATTTAAAATAGGAAAAAAAAATTAAGTAAGTAAATTTAGAGAGGAAAGACTAATTAGTTAAATTGCAGGTAAAAAGATTACAGATTTTGTTATATAAGTTAAATAAAAGCCTATGTTGAGTGAGATTTCTTCATGATGGATGAGACTCTCCAAATGGACTGGACTGACCTGACCGTAAAACCTTGCTGGCATCCAGGTGAGTTAGTAGGAAGTAGAAGTAGGCCGAGAACATGGTGGCCGCTTCCCAGACACTGCAGCACGGTATTAGGCCGGAGTAGACATAGGCCTAGCTGCGTAGGTGTCACCATCAGTGGGTGGTGGTGCACAGTCAGTGGTGTGACGCAGTCCCATCCGCCCGGGAGAAGGCTCATCGTGGTGCAGTTGTTAGCATTCTAATGGTGGCAGGTTTCAAGTGGAGTCGCCGACCCTGATACAAAGTATAGATCACTGACCTGGCCTAATTAAGCTAACATGTCTCGGAGTCCATATATTTAGGTTGCACTAGGCCTGAATAATTCAAAGGGCGTAAAACATTCTCTTTACCTGCAGTCAGCGACCACATTTTTACAAAGTTGTTCTGTAGTCTAGCCTAATCAACATGGTTCTCTAGAGAAAGGTAACATGATCTCACATGAATAAACGTGCATGAATGTGCTTGCTTACTATTCACAAGTTTAGGACAAACAAAATGGATATTTAAGTTATTATCTTGGCTAGGCTACTGTAATTGACCAGAGCAACAATTTAGGCTAGCAAAAGTTACTAGCACAAACAAATTTAGAACTAGCCTAGAAACTTTTGACATGATTGGGTCCAGACCAGCTCACAGTTAAACACAGAAATTACACAAAATGACTCAAAAATTACACAAAAATGACGTTAACACTTTAACTTGGTCTTTTAACCTTAAACATGAAAATTGGCTCAACTTTTAATATCACTTGTACTGACAAAGTTAACTCAACGAGGCATGCACATTGTGTTATCTAGTGGACTCGAAACTCTCAGAAAACAGTACAATAAACATCAAAATGACTCTATAAAACATTTCTGCACAATAGTGAAACAGTAAAAAAATGAAACAAAATGAAATAAGCGAGGACTAGGCCTGGCGAATTCAACTTACCCGTGGTATGAAAACTCTTAGCCAAAGTACGTCATGCTGACGATGATGGAAAGGGACCTATGAAGGTAAAACTTCAGGGTTCACAAAAGAAAACTCTCCCGGAAGAAAACCCCGTAGTTTTGGAACAATCTCAAACCCAAA